CGGCAAAAACTGATGGACAGCCTAGCTATCAATAACTTATTTGCCAAGATTTGATATTTAACAATTTCACAGCATCAAAAAAAAACTTAAAAAAAACCTTCAAGAAAATTTGCTAGCCACACCCCTGCACCACTAGCACCCACACAAACCTCGTCTACATCAAATTTTCCTACTCGACATTTTTTTTTCGTTCTCTTTCTGAGTCTCATGAGCTATTTTTTTTCCTTTCATAACTGTTATCATCATTGTGATGATTATGTATGCATAAATGTACGTATATGGCTTTAAGCCCTTAACTGCATGATAGAATTGCAAATCAGATTAAATACCTTCATGTCAGAATTGGCTGTTGTTTTAATTCCTCTGCTGTTGCTGTTGTTGCCTTTTGTTCTTTTTTTCTCACTTTTTTAATATTTATAGCACGCACCTTTTTAATATATTCATCAATTTTCCACTTCTTTAATTTTTAGCCCCTTTTATCATCATCACTAACAAAATTTTCGCCTTTTTTCCACTTCTCACGCCTCTTAAATCTGATAGCTTTACAAAAAGCAGCTTTTTCAATTTTTTTTTGCTCACCGTCAACTTTTTTTATGGTTTACAATTTTTTTTTTGGCTCTTCTCCTTCACTAAACAGTATCAGATTATTTTTTATGGACACAATAAACTTATTTTTTTACTCTTCTTTACTGCTGTGTTTATCAAATCCACACTTTCACAAACTTCTCTAATTTTTCTATTATTTATCAAATTTTCACAACTTTTCACATGGAAAGGAAAAAAAAATATTGTTTTGAGTGGTGAAATTTTTTTTTGGATGTCGTGAGATTTATTTTGTGGAAGGTGAAGAGATAACGTGTGAAAATGATTGACTTTGTTGTCTGGAAAGAAAATTGCTTGATATTTTGGGACGATGAAGTGAAAATGGGGTCATTAAGAGGCTTTTTTTTGGAATATTTGAAAGAATTTGATGCATTGGTTCACTAAGAGTGGATCTTGTATTGTTATCTTCTAAGGCAGTAATGGCCAACCCATGTGCTGCGAGAAAAAATTGGAAAATCACACTAATCGTATGCTGTGAATGGCTAGCCACTAAAAGTGCCATGTTTCAAAAAAGGTTGTCCACCACTGATCTAAGGACATCAAATATTAAACTAAGGATAGGGATTTTGAGTCATGTGAAACTTAACAGCAGTGGAGCAAGATAATTTTAAAAAATTAAAACACAGAAATTTGAATTTAGGGGGGGGGGGGGGGTCAGGGGAGTGAAAATATTTTATTGATTTTTCAGAACTTTCAAAAAAAGGTTTAAAAAGTTCTTGTGAATCATTCCTAATTTTTAACTAGCTTCACAGTCTTCTCCTGTCATGAGAAATTTTAAAACCTCAAAATTATGGTTCATAAATTAAATTTTAAAAAGATCCCCGTTTTCAAGAACTTTCCACGTGTAATTTTAAAAACATAAAATATTTTTCAGGCAGGCAAGTGGAAAGTAAACCATTTTCACAGAAATAAACAACGCTGCAGGTCACTTTTAAGCAATCAAAATATTTTCTTTCTGAGAATTCTGGCTGAATATTTTATCGTAAATGTCGTAGAGTGTATTTTGAAATTTTTGGGTAAAATTAAAAGAAAAACATAATTTTTGAAACATTTTAATTTATTTTAGAAATTATAATTTTTTGATTTTTTCATAAAAATTTCAAAATTTAATTTAAATTTTTCGAAAAAAAATGTTTTTTTTGGTAGACTTCTAAAAATGAAAATTCTGACAAGTTTGTCTAAGGATAAGATTTTAACTTCAAAATTCAAAAATTCAAAAAATTATTTTCTAAAACACCTCCGAAATTTTAAAAATATTCTAATAATTCATTTTCAGACTCTTAAACATTATTTAAGTCAAGGTACTCAAACTAATCACTGATAAGGTTCAGGTGCCTAGTCACATCTGTCTTTACATCCTCATTGAACCAAATTTAATCACAGAACATCAACAAAAAAATCTGAAATAATTATTCCAATTCCACAAAAACATCAAAACACATCAAAAAAAATCCTTACTCAATTTTTCCACTTTTTTGTCTCAATCCAAAGTGCCATTCAATCTTCATAACATCGTCACAAAAAAGTTATTGATGAGAATAATTCTTTTTTTTAATCCATTCACATCATTCAATAAATCCACTTTTAATTAATTTGAATTCACATTTCATTTTTTTACAATAATCCAGTTTGAAGTGCAAAACTTCTCGCTTAAAATTTTCATTTATTTTTTTTTTAATATTTCACAAAAAAAAAATGTTGCCGAATAATTCACCGCAAGAACAGATAGCGACAGACGTCTTAAAAGTTCGACAGCCAGACAAGTACTAAAGTAACGTTCATTAAATTTTTTTGATTTAAATAAATATTGAGGTATAATACAGAAGATGTTGGGAAGCATGACAAATTTTGTCGATGTTTTCAACATAATTTTTGCTATGCGCATGTGCGACATGTATATCAACAGCTATACGTCCTCAATATGCTAGAAGAGAGCAGAATGAGAAAACATCGAAATTAAGTTTTATGAATGAACAGGAATTTTTAGTACATCCTTGATACTCCTTTCATTGTTATGTTTACTATCATGATGAGAACATCATTGAAATTCCTCATCATATTCTTAATCATAATGCGAATGATAGCAAGTCATTAGACGAGAGTATTTGAATGCAAATTTTCAACTCCATGTCCTTGTTAATCATGATAATAATTCATGTTTAGCTTGTTTGCTTGATTATTGTTATCGAAATGAATGTTTTTATTTTCAGTGCTTCTTTTGGGGGTCGTTCACATTTGATGTTCATGTGATACTTAGTTCCTAGCTTTTCTGGTCGTACAGATCAATTGTGATCCATAGCTTCCCTTTGATGGCACCAAGAGCTGGTGCTTGCGATAGAAGGTTACCATTCATGTTCTTTGTAAGCCTAAATAGCAGAAGTCGGTTAATCGAAGATTAATCCGACGTCGAGCCAGTGTGACTCTGGCATGGAGCCGAATCTTACTCATGTTAGCTTGGTGTCGGATTTCTGATCGATTAACCGACATAAGGTTGCTGGTTTCTATTGGCCATGCACTAGCAATAGAGGTTCATCAAGAATGAAGTTAATAAATCTAGAATCTGGAATATCAAGCAACATAACAGGCCAATTTGTCCTTGAAAGAGTAAGGTCTCTGAGCGGTGAAATGTCATCATCGGCTTAAATGGTAGAGCGTTGGTCTTCTATGCTTGAGGTCCTGGTGCAATCACAGACCATGTCTAAATTTCGAAATTCTTTATCCATTTCACCGTTCTAGTTATGAAGTCTGTTCGTGTGTTGGTTGTTGTGTTGAAATTTTTGGCACAAAATATGCCTCTTTTGCTAGGTATACAAGGATATATTAGCATCTGGATGACTTCCTTACGGCATCTTGCGCACACGGATTGTGACTAGGTTTATTGCAGGGTTCATCAGGTCTTATGACGTACTGGTGTCTTAGAAATGTGCAGAGCTTGCAAGTGGATCGGATCCCACTATAAACCGTAGGTCTAAAGGGTATGGTACAATACTGTCGATCTGACACAATCTGGTACAGTTTTTTGAGGGGGCTGAGGTAGCAATAATGCTTTTTCTGCTAAAGATGAGCAAGGAATTCACCAACTTTACTAAAATCCTTTTTCTAACTTAAGAAAAGTCTCAAATTCCTGAAAATAAATATCAAAAGTTAAACATTCCCCCATCCACACATCACTTCCAATCCCACCCCTAAACCTGTAAAAAAATGAGGCGTTTTTGTGTGGTTTCAAATTAATTTACATTTTTTTTTCTCTTTTTTTTGTGAGTTGAAAATTTAATATTCACTGTGTGATGTTCCCTAGCAAGACTAACTAGCAAATTGCTAGTCTTTCTATTTTACTACTTGCAATTTACTAGTAATTATTAAAACAACTTATTGTTAGAAAATTACACTCGCTATTTACTAGCAAATTACTAGCAAATTACCATGTAAAATGTTTGATCAAATCTTCTTAAGTTCGAATCCTACGAAAAATCATCAAAAAAAGAATTTTTTGCGTCAAAAAAAATTTTGTTCTAAATTTGGCATTTGCCATATACTTCACAAGAGCGCGCAGAAATCACCTTTATAAGGTCGATCCAAATTTGCATGTGACTTTCAATTAATTATTTATCTTCCTCAGGTTTGCGTGCGAGTCATGGGCGTTCATCAGTGTTCGACTTAATTAAATTAAGTCTTTTGTTTTTTATCATAGTGCTAGTGTACTTTAATTAACTTAATAAGTACACACCAGAGGGCGAAGTCGACTCGAAATTTGTATGAAGTCGAGTGAACTCAAGTCGACTTTTCCATACAAAATCCGAGTCGACTTCGCCCTCTGGTACACACTAATACTTTTACAATAATTTACACAAATAAAAAAAATACAAAAACAAAATACAAAAACACAAAAGAACACGTGGAAATCAACGGTTATATTCATTTAATTTTTTTACAAATTTGCTAGTAAATTACTAGTTAAATTGTAAGCGAATTGACTAGTCAATTAGCAAGTGAAAATGCGGGTCTTTGGCGATGATTTGAACTTGGATTTTGACTAGTAAATAGCAAGTAGCAAATGGAAAGTTATCAAGTGAATTACTAGGAAATTACTAGTAAATTTCTGCTAGGGGTTTATTCTCCTTTGAGATTCAAAATTGATTTTCATGGTGATTACAAAGCAAAAGCGGTTTTTAATTTCAAGCGTATCTGGATGAATGAGTTTATGGTTCTTTTTTTTGCGTGCTGATAATTTTGAGTGTGTAGCTTCCGGTGACACAATAAAAATATTTTTTTGTGAAGGTAAAATTTTAAAAAATTCTGTTATTCAAGGGTGAACCCAGGAAGGGAAATATAATTTTTAGACCCCTCATATCCTCCAATCCAGACACGCTGATCACAAATTGTTCATACATTTTTTTTTAAAATTTATCATCCAACAAAGTTCTGACTCGTTCGCCAAACAATTTTGCTCCCTCATCATTTTCCTTAAAAGCTTTGACATCCGTCGAGCACAACTCATACCAGCGCTTCATATTCGGATAGTTATGTAATGAAGCTCCAATGTGCTGTAAATAAAATGACATGAGATAATATTATTAATCTCTTTTGTCAATAAAAATTTCAAAGTCAACATGCAAAAAAAAATAAAAAATATTTTACAATGATTGATGACACAGATGCGAGTATTGAAAGATCAGCAATTGTCATGTTGTCTCCACAAAACCATTTGCGACCTTCTAGGAAATTTTCCATCAAAAGAAATGCGTCGTGAATATGATTGCGCTTCTCATCGGCAATGTTCTTTTCGCCTAAGAATAGTGCTGGATACTGAAAATAGAAATAAAGTTTTTCGGAAGTGTTATAAGAACTGGTTGTGAAGCAAGCCCGAATGGCACAAGTCGGTTAATTGATTAGAAATGCAGCACTAAGCCGGTGTGACTCTGGTATGCTGCTGGATATAAATCGAAGTCAGCTTGATATAAATCAAAGTTAACACCATGCCAGTGTCATACCGGCTTGGTGACGAATTTATATTCGATTAATCGACTTGTGCCATTCGGGAAAATAGCTTTAAACCTGCTCTCATATGTTTAACATTTCCCACTTCCCTTTCATCAAAGTTAAGTCTAAGAACCTCCTTCGATAAACCTTTCCGGTTTCCCTTTCATTTACAACCACTCATAAAAATCAGTTTGAAGAAATTTTAATAGCATTTCATGATTTTTATGGTAAAAGCCATTAAAGTTTTACCGAACAATAAAATAAAAAATAGAAAGACTTAAAATCTTTCTAAGCTATAAAAATAACGACAATTTATAAATATTTCACATCCTTCCCCCTCTTTAAGAAGTCAACTTCTTTGCTCTCAAAAGTTCATGGCGTGTAACATTTTGAGCATGAAACAATTTTTTAAATGAAAGCGAGTTAAAGTGATGGGAAACAGCGCATCTCACATGTTGAAACAATAAAAGTCTTAAAATGACTCAACAACGATGTGAAATTGACACGTCATTTTATTCTGTGTTGACAACCATTTACATGAGCTTTTTTTTTAAAACATTCTAAGTAAGAAGAATCTTCGTTATCATGTTCAATGTAGGAATTGGAGGGAGCATAAGTTCAATATTCTTGAAAGGTGGAAGTAGTTCAATGACTTTTTAAAAAGGTGTAGCTGAGCGGCAATAATAGTTTCACCGAAAAGTACAAATCGGTTAATCGAATTAAAATCCATCACCATGTCAGAGTTATGTTGACTTTGCGCCTTTTGTATAGAGTCGAATCAACTCGAAATCGATTCCGCAATACAAAATCGATGAGAATCTCGAGTTGACTTCGAGGTCTGCTTTGTACCGGATCTCTATTTGATTAACAGACTTTTGCTATTCGGGTTAGGGACCGTTCACTAATGACGTCCAGTGAAGGGGGGGGGGGGGGGGTTCAGTAAGAAAAGAACAATAGAAATTCCAGGAAATCCATTGTTATTTTTTGAGAAATGAACGTTAAATTTGGACGTCATAAGTGAACGACTAAGACTTAGTTGCTAAGGTGACTTCAAATTGCTTTTCTAGGAATACAATTAAGCTTTAATCATGACTGCTATTGTTCAACTGACGTTAGGTTTAGTTGAAAAAGTGGTGGCAAAGGAAAAGGATGGCATTAGGTACAATGTGGTGTCATCTTGGCAATTTAATGGTTCTTTGGCCTTTGCTTTTTGAGATTTCATGTATAAAAGATGTAAACCTTTCTAGGACCCCTCCTCCCTTCGAATTACTTCGTATTAACTAGAATTCAATCAAAACATCAATATTCTTTTAAAAAAATTAATTTTAAAATTAATCTCTTAAACAGATCCCCTCTAAAGCAGGGGCATAGCATAGCTAGGAATTTGAAGAGGGGGGGGGGGTTCTAAAAGAAATTTTTTATAGAAAATTCATAGGGAAGGGAGGGGGGATTTTTATGATTTTTTCATTAAACTTCTAGCAAAATGAAGAAATTTCTGTTAACATCGGGAGATTTGTCCACAAACCCCCCCTGGTTACACGCCAGCTCTAACATTTCTTTTATTCCCTAAAAAATTCCCACCAACATTGATGCTCGAGAATTGAAATCGTAAATGTAAAAAAAACTTTTTATATCGATTTTCTTTTCTCGTCTCGATCATAATTGAATTCGATGTGAGAAGAAATAAAAAAACGGGGTGAAGGGGGTTAAACGAGCGACAGAGAGAAAATAAGAGATGAAATGAAATTAAAAGAGTTGAGAAACTTTTTGCGAGTTTGTTAGTTTCACATTTACAGTAAACATTCAGTTGACTCATGATTTCCCAAACGGACTTTCTTCTTTTTTTTGGTTCTCTTTGCGATTTGATTTTAATCTTTGTGGATTGTTGTGAGGATAGAGAATAAGAAGAAGAAGCTTGAAGGTCAAGGAGAAGCATTAAAGCGTTGAAAATTGCTTTTTTTGTGGATTGTTGCATGGATGTATGTTTTATGAACTATTAATTTTTATGGATGGGATTTAAAAAGGTTAAAAAAATTTTTATAAGAGCTAAGAGGTCATTTTAAATGACATCAGTTCAAATAAGTCTTAACTTTGGTTTAATAAATTTTTTAAGGTAGCTTCTGACACTGTATGGACGTCTCCCTCGCCAAACTCAAGTCAACCATGATTTGTACAAAATTTATGCTTTTACAGAACTTCTGTCTACATTTAAACAATGTATTGAAACCTACATGACCAGATTTCTATTTAAAACAATTAGTTCAATTCTTATAAAATCTCCCAGAAGTTCATAATCCACTTTCATCGTCCATTCAATAGCTGCCTGACTAGAAAGTTTCATTGAAGCACAAAACAGAATTTCCTTACTAGCAACTACAAGCCAACAGTTGGCCAGAGAATCTAATTAAAACTCTTCAAACTAAAGAATGATTGCATAGCCACGTGTTTAGAATTTCTCTGTAGCTTTTCTCTCTCTATCTCAAATTTCATACAATTAAAGCTCAGTAGCAGAACATTCATTTTAAACAGATATGAAAGAAATATGAGAATGAAAAATAGTTTCAGCTTTATTTAAGTTTGAAGTTGAAATTGAGACTCGAAAAAGTGATAGAAGCTATATTAAGCAGGATTGTAAAGTGAGACAGTATAAGGAACATGAGAAGATGAATAGTCGAGCTTGGAGCTGAGACCAAGCTGTCATATAGGCCCGCTCAGTGAGTTCAACTCCCTTTCTTGGTTAAATTGATCCAAACCTTTAAGACAACTTTGCAATGAACAAATTTCATTAAACATTTATCAATCTATTCCAGTGTTGTCCAACCTCTGTGCCGTGACACACTAGTGTACTGTAGGACATCCTTAAGTGTGCCGTGAAAATATATTTCAAGTCAAAGTGTTCCGTGGCTGAAAAAAGTTTGGACAACACTGATCTATTTCCATCAAAATCACATCGAAAATAAAACGTCACATAAAATAACAAATTTCCATGTTTCCATTCTCGAAAGAATAACTTTACATATTACAATTTCCTCTCGAGTCATTCAATTGATTTTCAATTTAATTTTTCCTCTTGTACAAAAACTCAAATTTATTCTTGTCGAGTGCTTTTGGCAAAGGAAATTCTTTTAACATTGGAATCGACATTCAATAATCATTTTATGAGCATCAGAGTTCGAAGATTCCTGACCTCATAATTTATGCACTCAAAAGTCACGTCAATTGTTGGCAACAAGTTCGATTCTCAAGCATATAATTGCGACTAATTTACAATGACTGCTACTGAAAGAAGCAAGTGTTGAAGCCCCATTGCATGTAGCTTTTTAATCAGTTGCATTTATCTACAAGGTTTCCATCGACTCATAAAGTTTATGATACTAAAGTTTCATTTTCTCTATTATAAAGATGCTATTATTGGAACTACAATCGGTTCCAATAGTTATATGATGTGATTGTCTTACTCCCCGACACGAATTGACATTTTCATACAATTATTGTGTCAAAGAGTATACAGCACAATGAGTACTTACAGCAATAGCACGAATTCTCGGATATAGAGTGCCAGCATCGAAATAGAGACGTTGGTTAACAACAGCACGTTCTGCTGGATTCGATGGATATAATGTACTATTTGGTGCTCTCGTTTCAACCAAGTACTGTGCAATTGCTGTGAATTAAAGGGGATATAAAAAGAGGGAGAAATTTAATGTTCAGATAAAAAATATAAAATGATGTTTTGTGAGGTTGTTGGGGATACAGAGGTAGACTAGCGATGCATTAGGATGGAACTACAATTATGGAATAGGAAATATGTATTTAAATACAGTGGTGAACCTTGGGGTGCCCTTAGATTCACGCAATGTAGGAGTCCAACAGGGGCCCTTAGGCAACCAACTCTATTCTCCTCCAGAGGATATGGTTCCAACACAAGAACTCAAAAGACATTAAATTATCAATTCAAAATAAAATATTCACCTCTCGACTCCCACAAATGAAAGCCATTATCATCAATGGTTGGAACGCAATGTTGTGGATTAATTCTTAAAAACTCAGGCGACAACTGCTCTTTTTGGAAGAGATTCACTTCCTTAACCTATTCAAATGAGAAACAAATTTAAATGAAATAAAGTCATAATAAATATTGCCTTTGACCTTGACTTACCTCTACATCCAATTCGAGATTACGAATAGCAAGCAATGCGACACGTGACGGTGCCGATGGTGGAAAATGATATAAGATCAGTGGCGCCATGTTATTTCACTGGAAGTAGACGGATGAACAAGAAACTGATAAGCAAAGGGAGAACAATAAAGAAGAGGACACAAAAAAAATTATCATAAATTAAATTTATCGCTCGGCAATCAATGAGAGGAAAATTTTTCATGGACTAAGATTTCCCCAAAGCATTTGTTTTTTTGCTGCCTTCGAGTCCGAAATGATAAAAAAGAAGATTTTGACGCTTAAATCATTAAAATGGGTGAACAAATTTTCTAATTCAATCATTTTTTTTCTATTCTTTTGTTAGTTGATTTAAGGAAATGGAATGTGAATTTTTGAGGCTTGGAATTTGGTCGGCTTGATTTAGAATTTGTTTTGTTGGAATTAATGTGAATTTGTTTGGTTTCTATTGTGCTTATTGGATATTCAAGGTTAAAACTCCTACTAAGAATACTTGTGCCACAATTTTCAACAATTTACGTTAAATCCAAATTTATGAGCCAAACGAGAGAGTAATTTTAGATGTTGTACACTTTTTTAATGAAGTTGCATGCCACAACTATGAACATGGTGTCCAGGCCTCTTTGAAGTCTACTCTAAGTGCTAAGCTCATGAGTTATAGCCTTCTCTTTGCTTGACAGATAGCTTCTTTTATGAATTAAGGTACTGAACTGTTGTATCTGGAGAATCAGGCCATTTGAAGGTTATATGACCGAGGAATTAACAAGTTTAATGAGGCATGGGTTCAGATCCTATCAGGAGCTAAGACTACAACTTTATTAACAATGAGCCGATTTAGGGCCATTGAAAAATAGTTTAAGGCATCACTCGGGGTGTTGGAAATAAATTGTATCCCGGGTATCACAAGTCGGATAATCGAGATGAAATTCTACACCAGGACGATGCTATAGCGAGCTCTTAGAAATCAGCTAAGGAGTTCATATTGAAAGTGTATAAAAGATATTGGACTTTTGCTCCTGTGAACTATCTAGAAGCTGTTTTACGCCAACCTTAGTCACATACCCGAGGAGCACAAGTCGGAAATCGAAACAAAAATCGAAATCGGAAATCGAAATCGAAACAAAGTCCTAAGTCGCTGTGAATTTCATTTCGATTTCCGACTTGTGCTAATCGAGTATGTGACTAAGGTTGGCTTAAAACAGCTCCTAAATAGTTCATAGAAGCACAAGTCCACTATCTTATATAAATTTTCCATATGAACCCCTTACAGCTAGCTTCGGTCCAAAAGGTCCTTAAAAATCTAGAGTAAAAATTCCTTAAATCTTTAAAATTCTCATAAAATTTCGCTAATCATTCCAAAAATCCTTAAGTTTTTTCCTACTTATTTCCCATTTTATGACGGTAATTTGATTATTTTAATTATCAGCATTTCTTCTGCTTCACAAAAAAAAAGATGAACGTGAATTATTTTCTTATTTCTCGTTTCGAATAATTTTTAAGATTTTTCATCTTGATTAGCATGCTTATAAGAAAAAAGCTAAAGTTCAAGATTAAGAAGAAGTAGGAAGAGTAAAATAAAAAAAAGTTAATTGGCCTTTAAATAATCGCTTCTTCAGACGAGAAAGCACAAATTAAAAATTATTAATGGCTGTACTTTGGCTATAAAGCATATAATATGAGGAACAAAAATTCATGGACGATAAGAACAGGAAAACATTTCCTGAAGCAATGTTAGAGAGATTTCCTTCTGCTAGACTTGATATTATGCAAATTTTTTTTTTGTTTTTCTATGGACGGCTGGAATTTTCGTGTTTTTAAAGCTGAACATAATAATTTTCGAACGTTGCTATTGACGGACTTGATGTAAATGTTGCCTACATAAATTCAGAATAATGTAAATTTGTTGACCTGCAAATTAATTCTTCGAAGGCAACGTCAATGCAAGTAAAATGTTGTTACTAACTAGTCAAGAACAGAACGTGCAAATGTGAGCATAGATCTCTAAAAATAGAATACTCTTGACATTGACTGTGGCAGTTTTTCGAATATTTTCGAGACACATTGATGAATAGCATTTGTTGATGCAGATGTGGAGCTAGGAGGTGAATTGAAGACATTACTAAAATCAGAAAGGGGCCGTTCACGTATGACGTCCGACATTTAGGGGGGACATCAAAGATTTTGTGACAGTTCAAATAATGGAAATTTTTTTCTATAGAATTTTTGTGACAGACGGGGGGGGAGGGGGTCTAAAAATCAGGTTTTTTGATGGACGTCATAAGTGAACGACCCAAAACATTGCTTTGTTCTGTAATTATGCAATCTTAGAGTCAGAATAGAGTAGAATCAGGTGTATCGATCCATAAATAGACGAATCTGTCGGAGCTAGAGTAAGGTCTCAGTGGTTGATTTGTTTGGCAACAGTTTTGCAATCTGCAACTCTTTTCTATTGTGAGAGCCTGTGTTCAATTCGCACCATAAGACGATCTATAAATTGTCTGACCATATGCTTTGTTTTCGAGCGGACAGTCCTCAATTCTTTTCATTTTTCAAAAATAAAATAGTTTCGTTATGTTCTAATTCGTCCAGAAAATAAATAAAATTGGTAATCATGTAGGATGTCCTCTGTTTTACTTTCAGGTCCTCTAGTTTTTCAAAAAAATATCTGGTCACCCTATCCTTAACTGACCATACCATAGAGCTCAAAAATATCAGATGAGTCAAAATGAATTCAAAGTTAATTGGATTAATTGGCTAGTATCTTAATTTAAAATAATAAATTTCATCACATTGCCCAAACAGCAATATGAGAAGTCTTTGCAAGTCATGCCAAAAAGAAAACTCAATTCCCAAAAATACAAAAATGCAAAACCTAATAAACAAGCTAGTTAAAGAATTTTTCTCATTAACGGTGAATATGCACACCTTCCGATGTATAGCACTGCTATATATTTTAATTTTTTGTGTTCTCACAGCAGTCGAAAAACATTACTACAATCAAAAAATAAATATGCTCTTTCGAGAGAGTTCTAGCCGGCATTTAAAGTAGAGAGCCGTGAGAATATAAACAAGAGTATTATTTAAAAGGAACTCGAGCGCATTTTAAGAGCGACCGATCAATAATAAAAAAAAATTAAGAATTTATTTAAGAAGAAGTGCAATCAATACAAGCTTCTAGGTCTGGCTTTTTTGTGTGATTGATGAAAATTTAATAAAGACTTTTGTGTCTTGTCTGGGAATTTTAATGAGAGTCAATAAATGTGTATACATGCAGACCCAGACAAAATGAATATTTTTAACTCACTTGCAACAGAATGCAGAGAGCAAAAAGTTACAAAATGAGAATTTTTTTTCTAAAAATAATTAAATTTCCGAATTTTTCTTCTATAGACTTCTTCAGACTTATTATCGTCCTTAATAACTTAATTTTCAACTTTTTACTTACAATTAACAAGTTTTGATTAAAAATTAAGACACACGATAAACAATTTGTAATAACAAAAAAAAAGTATCTTAATTAATGTCCAACAGTGACGAAAATACAACTTCAACTGAATTGAACAAAAAAAAAAATATACACAACGACGCTTAATTCTCTTTATTCTGTTTTTCTCTCAATTTTCTACTTCTTCTTTATCTTGATATCGAGCTCGCATTGTGGCTGTATGTGCGTTACATGCAATAGAATGAAATCCAATATTCTTTATAAATCATTCATGCAACAACATTCGCTCACATGTTTTTCTTTTATTTTGATGTGCTTACAATGTGCGAATGGCAAATGTGGATGTACTATGCGAAATTTCAAACAAATCAATCATCATGAATGATTCTAATAATCATCCTGAATTTTACTTATGTTTTTGGAGTTAATTTGGATGTGATCAGGCGCGTAGCCAGGAGGGTTTTGTCCCCCTCTTAAGCGTTTTAGGTGGGGGGGAACAAGACCCTCCTGGCTACACACCTGGATGTGATGTAAGATTTGAAATGGAACTTTGGTGGGATGTTCACAAAGTTTAACTCTATCTCTATCCTCGTAAGAAAAGAGAGGCTCAACATGGGTTTTTGTGGAACTGGGACCTATTTTTTGAAGTATAGCTTAACTGAAACTAAACCTATAAGTATAAATGAGGTATTTGGGGACTCAAAATTTTAATTTATATTTTTTATGATGTTCCACATGACAAGGCTGTCCAACTGCACACTTTTTAACCGGGCAGTACAGCATTTTTGAGAAATGACCCGCCTAGATCCTTAGTGTCCCGCTTTTTGACCAAAAATCGGCAAAAAAATTAATGGACAGCCTACACAAAGCTCCAGTGACATTCCTCAACCCCTTCAAAAGTTAAACATCACAGCCAAACAACCCAATTGAGCACACACAACTTAAAGTTCTGTGGTAAAGAGCTGCTACGTAAATCCTGACATCAAACATTAACATAACTCAAACAAAATATAAATCAATGGGAAAAGGAGAAAATAATCCAAAGCACGTAGCAGCTTCGATAAAAGATCCTGATTTTTTCCATGCTCTCTTTTCATATTCTGCTGTCTATTTTTGCGTGACCGATTCATGAATAAATCAATCACTGGCCAAAAGTTAAATTATTCATACACTTGTTTGATTGTTAGAATGCATAAACATTCCGTTTATTGGAAGTAGAAAAGATATTCTCATGTGAGTGAGTGCTGGTGGCTTGCAGGGATGGAAAAATTGAGTAACTGGGTAAGCTTGATTATGGCAGATTTTGAATAGCTTTTAGTCGAATTTTGTCAGAATTTTAAATGAGTTTTAACCAGCTTTAACAGAATTTTTGTAGATATTTGACAGAATTCTAGCTGATTTTTGTCAGAATTTTAGCGGACTTTTGACAGAATTTTAGCAGACTTTTGACAGAATTTCACCTTACCTTTGAAAAAATTTTGTCGGACTTTTAAAATAAGTCTGATTTCAGACATTTGATCACCAACTCTGAAACCTTTTCGATATCACATTGTGGGAAAAAAGAAAAACAGCACAAACAATCTCACATCGGACGTTCACAAGGTTATAAAATATTGAAAATAATTAT